TGTGGAGGGGGATTGTAAGTGGAGGCATTCCGGAGATTGGAATGGATGAAATTATCAGAGGTGGTGTTTTTTATGATAGGATTACTGGCAAAGTACCTTTTGATCAATAATTGTCTCGTAAATTTATGTATGTCGATATAGGCTTGAAATTTATTCAGCCTGTTGGTAGGGGCATATTTAAGTCCCTTGTCCAGTATGCTGAGTTCTTCTTTAGTAAGTTCTCCACTACTGAGGTTGAAGATACCTTTACTGACTAAATCCTTATTTTTTTGGTTACGTCTGTTAATCCTCCTTCCTCCTCTCTTTCCCCTATAGTGTCGCTCCATTTTGCGCACTCTTCCCTCCCCTAAAAAAAGGCTGTTGGGTGTTAATATCATTATATTGAAACTGAATGTTCCTTCTAGGGGTGGATGGAGGGGCTCTGTGAGCGTGAGGGTGGGCTCTGCCTGACGGACCACGCCATTGGGGTTTTGAATAAGGTTGATAATGTGTCCATCTGTTGTGGCAGGGAGAGGGATAATGCGAAGTATGATGAGGGTGACCGTATGTGGGTCTATCCTGTTGGCCATAATGTTGGGGACCTTGACGGTGGGGTCTATTGTGGTAGTCCGGTGTATGGATTCTCCTGTGTGGAGTGTTTCCATTTGGATGCCAAAGTAAATCCCTTGAACCAATGTTCTCGTCACGGAGATTATGTAGAGGTTCAAATCTGTTTGATGTAGGTAGGTTGTAATTATGGTTGTTATTATTGTTTCTAAATGGCTTGGCTGGTGACCTATGATATCCGTTAGAAGATATCTGTTATAAGAGATATATAGATGACATTTTCCTCCTGTGGAATGGTGAAGAACAATCACTAATACATTTTTTCTGCACCTTAAACAACAATGATCTTAACATTAACCTCACCTACACCTACAGTAAACAAGAAATTAACTTCCTTGACTTGACCCTGGTGAATTGTAACGGGAAAATCATCACTAAATCATATTTTAAAAATACTGACCGCAACAGTTATATCCCTGTTGACAGCTGCCACAACCCATCTAGGTTGGCAAATGTTCCAAAAGGACAATTCATGAGGATCAGGCGTAACTGCACAGATTTGGATACCTATTACTCGCAGGCCATGATCCTAAAAAATAGATTTCTTGAGAAAGGTTATAATGAAGCAACCCTCAATGACACCCTTAATACTGTGGCAAATTTAAACAGAGATGATATGCTTGCAAGTGGAGTAAAACCAGTACAAACTCCGGTGTGCCCCTTTATCACAAATTACTCTATTGAACACAGGGCAATCAGTGGGATTATTAAAAAGAACTGGGGCATTCTAAAAACTGACCCCATTTTATCAAATATATTACCTGATAAACCCAAAATCATTTTCAAAGCCACAGCCATAAGAAACCAACTAGCACCTAACAAAGAGGACCCACCAATAAGCTTCTCATTATTTCAGACCTAAAAGTCTTCCATCCATGTAACAGATGCGTCATCTGCAAATGCAACAATAATAGGAAGCAGAGAATTGATTTGTTCTCTTCTAATTTCACTGGCAGATCATATACCATAAAAAATTTCATCTCTTGCAACAGTAGATATGTGGTTTATATGCTTGAATGCCCCTGCCACAAACAATATGTGGGCCGTACAACCAGGAGGTTAAAGGACCGCCTACGTGAACACGTTTACAATATCAAAAGAGGTTTTAAGGAACATTCCCTGTCAAAGCATTATAGATTTTGCCACAACAGGGACCCCACCACCCTTAAATTTGTGGGGATTGATGTTTTCACTCCACATTGGAGAGGCATATACAAAAAACGGGCTGTTTTACAATTGAAGACCAAATGGGTCTTTGAACTAGGTACCCTACACCCTTTAGGACATAATATAGAAGTTGATGTGAATTGCTTCATAGACAACAGCTAAATCTACTTTTTATTAGTACACATACTACTTTATTACCAATTTTTACCAGATTTTTTGCACTTTTACCCATTTGACATTCCTTATCCATGATTCATGCCTATTCTATTCTATATCACAAATTTTTTTTATTTATATATTTCCACATAGTTTTTATGCATAGAGCGTTATTAACTATTTGGATTTTACTGACATTGATATTATCTGATGCGATTTCTGGATTTTCTGCATTCTATTTTATATTTTTGAACTGTAATTTTTATTTCTGTTTACCATGTATGATTTTATATTATTGCGCACAATTTGCCATGGATTATTACTCATTTTTATATTTATATCCTTTTACTGATACCGGAATTTTTATACACCAGTGACCTTTTACCTGTATGTCTTATACATCAATTTTTATAATTTTACCACATCGCACCCCGTATAACTTTTTATATAATCTTTTGTCTATGGTGACTTTATTTATTATTTATCCTTTTTATTTGTACTTTTTCACATTTTTTCATTGACAAGAATTATCATTCCTAGCGATCCCTGTCATCAAATACATTCTATGGCATTAATTAATCATGATTGGGTGCGATATAATCAGTGTGTCCCATTATATGACCACTTGACTTTATTTCCCCCCTTTTTCACACAAGGCTCCTGATATATAATGTAATTGCCATTTTTAGTAAAGGATTTTCCGGTTTTTAAGTTTGTCAATCTTAATCACGTCCTCACAGCTTCACAGCTGTTGTTGCGACCCCAATCCATGGCAAAATGGTGCCTATACGAGGCGCATGCGCACTTTGCACTCTTCAACAAAATGGCGGTGACGCAGAGCGCATGCGCCATTTTCCCTATATAAGGAATTGACGTCTGTCAAGGCAGTGTTGGTCTCCCCTCTGACGACGTGCGTGGCAAGTAAAGCTTTAGGAGGAACCAACACACCGTGACGTCATGCCGCCGAAGTCACCTGCAGGTCTGGCAGCCATCTTTTATCTCAGTCAGTGCTGAGTTCACTCTGCAATACTGTTAACTCCTTTTTAACCAAATTTCCACGGAAAAAAGCTTTTTGAAATGACTACACTATGGGCACTTCTTCTGTGGCTTTTTCTTGGAGCTATTAATTACAGAGCCTGCAGATGATCCTTATCTATCCAGCACCCAGAGGAGGGAATCCCTGTAACCAGGCTGAACACCCATCCATCCTAAAGGGGACCTCTGGATGAGCAGATTTCACTTAATCCGAAGATCCACTGCTGTGCTGTTCCATACCTAGAAGGAAGTTCAGCAGATGCCTGACATACCCCGCTTCCCTAAGTGGTCCGTGGTGGATATATTTATATGCGCATATACTATGCGCTTCTGGTGAGGGCGTAATTTTACCGTTACTTCCAAGCACAAGCATTTGAATTCTGCTACACTTGGGATAATTTATTATCATTTATTATTTATGAACTTTTATGAGCTTGTATTTGTCGTTTTATTCGTCATTTTATCAGCACTGCACTTTATTTATACAGTTTTATTGAGGTTTATATGGTTACCTTTAGTGCTACAGCTGCTACACCTAGAGCGCTCACTTTGTCTTATCCCAAACATATACTAGGGCCAATTTAGACAGGATCCAATTAACCTACCAGCAGGCAGGAGGTGCCGTGGCTGGGATTCAAACCAACGACCCTAGTACTGCCAGGTGGAAGTCCAACCATTTAGCCACTGTGCTGCCATACCTCTTTATTCACTCACATTAAGAGGGTGCACACTTGCACCAAGATACAATGCCTCATATTTCAACACTATTCTCCTGTTGAGCAATAGCAGTTTATGTGCATAAATACCAATATTTCTCCACTTCCTATACATGATGACATCATCTAGTTGGCCATAACCCTATGCATTTCATCACAGGGTCACACCACTTTCAAGTAATATTGAATTGCAAGCTTGTATGGGAGTGGAGTGTGGACGGATGACAGCAGTTGGTAAATGTTTTATAGGGGTGATATTTATTGATCATAGCAGCTCACAAGGTTCACATACACATCTTACAGTGTCTCAGAAGTAAAGATGGGCAGAGATTCACCATTTTGTGAAAAGTTGTGCCTTAAAATTGTTGAACAATTTTTCCTCAATGTAAATTTGCAAACATTTTAAATATTTTATCATCTACAGTACATACCATCAAAAGATTCCAAGAATCTGAATAAATCTCTGTGCGAAAGGGACAAGGCTGAAGAACAATATTGTATGCCAATGATCTTCAGGTCCTCAGAAGACATTGCATTAAAAACAGGTATGATTCCTTGATGAACATCACTGCATATGCTCATGAATTATCACTATATAGGATTTATATAGCGCCAACAGTTTGCTCAGCGCTTTACAATATAACGGGAGACAATACAGCAACAATACAGTTCAATACAAGAGGGTTAGGAGGGCCCTGCTCCTTGGAGCTTACAATCTAAGATGGAGGGGCTAGTGGTACAAAAAGGTAGTAACTGTAGGGGATGAACTGGTAGGAGGATTAGAGGATTCCATTATTAGCTGAGGGCAGGATAGGCTTCCCTGAAGAGATAGGTTTTCAGAGATCGACTAAAAGTGAGCAGAGTAGGCAATAGTCTGATAAATTGGGGTAGAGAGTTCCAGAGGATGGGGGAAGCTCTAGAGAAGTCCAAAAATCGCTGTTTGTGAACGCAGTTTGCCTTGTCATCCAAAAATGCAAGTTAAAGCTCAGTCATGCAAAGAAGAAGCCATATCTGACCATGATCTAGAAATGCCACCATCTTCTCTGGGCCCAAGCTCATTTAAAATGGTCTGCTGCAAAGTGGAAAACTGTTCTGTGTTCAGATGAATCACAATTTGACATTCTCCCCCACCCCATGGCTAGCCATAGAGTCATAGTAAAATATATTGTTAGTATTCTAAGGAAATTATAGTAAGAAGAAAAATGAAATCTGTAAAGTTAAACTTCTAAAGTTTACTTTTAGACCCTAGTGTCTTGGCAACTTTGCGCTCTTTCTGTAATGAAAACTCAGTGGCTTTTATTTCACCAGCAGAACAATTACCTTGTGCACAGGAATATGGAAGGCATGGTTCTCCAGGAAGACATTCTTTTCTGTTCACCTCACACAAATGATTCAATGGGCATGGGTTTGGGTTGCATGGATGTGTAACATCCTCTACCTCATTATCCAGTGAGCTTGATCCTATGACAGAATGAAAAAGTCTAAGTTAACAAAGCACTGTTCTTTGTATTATTCATGTAAGTAAATGTGTATATTTTGTTAAAAAAATGTATTTTAGTGTTTTTGAGATACCATGTCATTGTGTCAAATAATTAATATATATTAATCTCTGCAGTCCCAAAGCCTCCCTCCTCCTTTTTTGTTTATATTTAAAAACATGTTGGTTTCACATCCTCTAACTTTTTGCATTTGAAGCCTTTTAGTTTAGTACAGCTATGCTCCCTTTCAACATGCCATTACGATATGCATGGGAAAGCTTTGCTGAGGAATCCACAAAAGAAAAAATTACATTGGGAATGCTTACATGAGTTTGTGTTGCTCATGCAATATGTGCTTGCTTCATCCAGGCTGTCCGTTTTAACCAGGGTCATTGAGAGTACAAGCAAGCACATTTTATTTTTATTTGGTTGTTTTATTTATTACATTTTTTTTAAATGTTTATCATTTTTCCATATTTTTCTCCTCCATGGAGAGACTGGTCAGTATAAATGGTGATCCATCCTAGCCTCTTGTCAGCAAGCAGATTATTTTATAGCTTAGTGATCCCAGCATTAAACATTGTGAAGTGGAGTATGACCACTGAAATCAAACACTGATTTAAAACAGTGCTGAAGGAAAGAACTGCAACAGTGGGGCCACTTTAAAACAGCTCCTGGGGATCAAATGGCATAAAAGGTTTAAAGAGAGTAATATGTGAAACCTCATTGTCATTTTATCATAGCTGATTACTGTTGTACAGTATGTTCTCAGACCATTTTTAGCCCATAATGTACATCTTTGTTTTACTCTTGTATCATGTTTATCTTTATAAAAACCATACAGGTGTTTTTTAAATGGAAATACAATCATATTGATGCAAACAGCGGGAATATCCCAGTACCCTGGTACCCTGCTGGTAAAAAGTATACTATTTTTTTAAAACTTAGTTATTAAAACAGGCTTACATAAAAATAAATATGACGAAGCCTGTCATCATTAAACATTTTGTGAGCTATGCTTGTGTTGCCTTATCACATATCTGTACCTGGCAATATTTGCGACACATCGTAAAGACCCATTTATAATACAGCAGTATGGCTCTTCTGCATTGTGCTTTAAAAATGAGCAATGCTTTGCTTGCTTTGGGACTCCATTTAAATGAATGAATGGAGATAAAAAGAGGGAAGGGGGAGAGACGTGATCTGTCAAATTATGTCAGTCAAGAATAAGGCCTGGAGCTAGATGCGGAGCATTAGGCGGAGGGCCTGACATGACTAGGTTGGCAGGATAGGCAGAACATCATAAGGTTAATAGAGGAGTTTGGTTTGAAATGGGAAGGTAGTAGCTGATTGAAGGTGGCGCAGGTGGGGCTTAATAGGGGCCAGATGGCAGGGAGAGTTAGTAGGGCGGTTTCAAAGTAGTCGGAGTCAGTTGGAGCTTGGACAGCGTAGGACAAGTTTCTTTCCTTGCCGTCCTGCAAACAGGGCCCGACAGCATAAGTGACATGGAGGGCATGCTTGGCCCTCAGTGGTTGCAGGCTCAGATTTTTGACATGCTGCAGTGGTCTGGGAAGGCACCAGCCTCACCTGCCCCCGTGCGCCCGCATGCTAGGAGGTCTAGGCCTCCTGAGCACCTCAGTCCTGATGTGACCCCTCTGGGAGCCCCTCATGGGACCCTCCGGGCTCAGCGGCTAAGAGGAAGCCCCCCTCTGTGGCCGTGCGGATCGGAAGGAATCCCAAACAAGGGCGGGACCTGGCCAGGAGATTTTCTGCCTCCAGCGCCTCCTGTGCCCTTTCCTCACCCCCTCTGGACCACACAGCCGGCTCTGCTAGCAGCGTGGCTCGGCGTGGTGCAGCAGCTGGTGCTGGCCAGCGGCTTGGAATGGCTGGGACTACATCTGGGAGAGGGCGAGGTTCTGCGGTGACCCCCGTCATGCCAACTTGCTCCCAGGATCAGCAATTGGTGGCTGCTGTCCATTCCTGGCGGTGCACTCTACAGGCTCGTAGGAGCGGGAGTGTCAAAGGCCCCGGTCTGGCTCCCGCTGAGGACGTTGGCAGAGGGCGCCTGTCAGTCACAGCTCCGGTAACAGGAGCTGTTCCTATGCTCGAAGATGGTGCTGGAGCCTGGGAGGAGAAGCGCTCTGAAGGGGAACTGTCCAGCTCGGAGGGAGGAAAAGAAGATCCTGCAGTGGCTGCAGCGATGTTGGGATCCGGAGGGACGGCTAAGCAGAGTCGATTCCCGGGGCAGCCTGGTAAGCAGTGTCCTGTCTTTTCTGTTCTTGCTCCTTCTCCTGTCTGTGTGGGGTCTGTTCCTTCTTCTCTTTCTGGGATGGCTTCTGGGTTTTCACGGGGGCTGGCTGCGGGTGTAAAGGTACCAGGTGGAGTGGGGGGGGGGAGCTCCGACGGGGGGCTCCTTGCGCTCCAGTGACCTGATGGTCGGGAGGGGTCGGTGTCATCAATGCTGCAGACGATGTGGGCGGAGTTTAGTGCAGTGTTGTCGCGGCTGGAGCAGGGAGTGGCGGGGTTTGTGCTGGCGGGCTGCCTGGTTAGTGCTTGTTCGCAGGGGCCGAATGGCCCTGTTTTGGTGGTACCGGCGCTGTTTTTTGGTCAAGCCTCTGAGTGGTTTGAGTCATTGGGGAGCTCGGCTCTGCCTGCACCAGGGCCTGCGGCGCGGGATGTGACGGTTACAGATGCTGCAGCTGCAGTGTCAGCAGTTTCATGGAGTTTGCCATCTGTGGGGGCCCGGCGGATGCAGAGACAGTGGTTGTGTGGCTGCCTGATGCCGCAAAATGCAAGGTTTATGTCTGCTTTGAGGGCCTGCTGGGTGCTCACTTGAAAAATGATGTCTGAGAAAAAATTTGGAGAGGTGAGTATGTGGAGATTTTTTCGTTATTGCCGTTAGAGCAGTTTAATCTCAATAGAGTTAAGTCAGATGAGGGCAAGAGGGAGGAAGAAGAGCGGCATTGTTATCGGTTGATCCTGAGGGCTTTTTCTAACTAGCTACAAGCCTTCAGCATTTTTGCCAGTGTGATTGGGGAACAGGCACCGGAGAATTGTTCTCACCTCTTTTGTTATCTGGATTCCATTAGTGAAGCACAACAGATATACGGCAGTACAGCGTGGCTGCGCTACGACAAACAATTTCGGCAGCGCAAGGCGGTCAGACCTTCACTGAGATGGGACCACAAGGATATTAGCTTGTGGATAAAGCTCATGACTCAGGCAAGAGGTATTAGTTCCCCCATTCCAAGTGGAGTTGGGGGCATGTTCACCTACACACCCTCGGCCGTGAAAAGAAAGGGGTACTGCTGGCAATTTAACAAGGCGGTTTGTTGATTTGGAGTGTGGCGGAACACATCCTTTGTCCAGATGTTTCAAGCAGGGTAGGGGCAGGGGTATGAATGCTGGAAAAAGGGAGGATGCCAGTGAAAGTGGAAAAATTGGCCCTGTTCCTAAGTAGGTATCCGGATCATGTGGCTGCTAGGCTTTCGTTCTGCGGTTTTTCAGAGGGTTTTCTGATTCCTTGTTCTTTGGTGGTCGTCCCTCCTGAGGCCGATAATTTGCGGTTGGCCAAGTCTTATCCGATTGTAGTTACGGCTAAACTTTTTAAGGAAGTGTCTCCTGGCAGGATGGGTGGCCCTTTCCCTTCTCCTCCTTTGGCAGACTTGGTTGTGTCCCCTCTGGGGGTAGTTCCCAAGAAGGAACCCAATCTGTTTCTGCTTATTCACCATCTTTCTCACCCTGCTTGTGGTTCTGTCAATGAAAAAATTAGACTGCGCTCTTTGCAGTCTTTGCTGGGCAAATTTAACTTTGCCTGCCGTATTATGCCCATGGGGAGGATTTTCTGCCGCTGTCTGGCTGCTGCCATGGTGGGCTGTACATCTCATCATCACATTCGGTTGTCCAGGGAGCATCGGGAGGATCTGTCCATGTGGGAGCTGTTTTTGGCATCTTACAATGGTCAATCTCTGTGGATGGCCACCCCCATGTCTAACCGATTTGGAATTGTTTACCGATGCGGTTGGTTCCGCGGGTTATGTGGTGTATTTTCAGGGTAGGTGGAGTGCGGGTAGCTGATTGGAGTTCTGGAGAATGGCTGCTTTGCTGAGTAATTTGGTGTTGCTGGAATTATTCCCAATTGTGTTGGCAGTGGAAGTGTGGGGTATGGAGTTTCAAAATCAGCGAGTTAAGTTTCATTGCAAAAATATGGGAGTAGTGCAGGCTATCAACAGCATATCTGCGTCTTCCCCTCCAGTTATTAGACTGCTTAGGCATTTGATGTTGCCCTGTTTAACGCTTAATTCTTTTGTCTATGCTGTGCATGTGCCGGGGTTTACCAACACTATGGCTGACGCTTTGTCTTGATGTTGGTGGGACAGGTTCTGTCGGCTGGCACCAGAAGCAGAGCGGCTGGAGATCCCGTCCTCCGGGCATCTGTGGACCATCGCCTTGCCACTGTACTTGAGTTGATACGCAATTCGGTGTGTTCTTCCACGCGGACTGCTTACGAGAAGGTCTGTCGGGACTGGCATGGGTTGGTAAATTCAGCAGGGGAATGTTTTTGGGATGAAGAGCGGTTGTGTGTTTTGCTTTATTTTATCGCGCCAGATGGCTGGTTTGGCTTTTCTGTTTCAGTTGTCTGGTTTTGCGGATGTTACTAAACATTTTCTGGTTCAAAAAGCTTTGCAGGGTTTCAGGAAGGGTAGCCTGGTTCCTGATTCTAGGTTTCATTTGAGTTTTCAAAGCTCTCTAATAATCCCCAAAGAAAAGTCAACCTTTCACCCTTGAAAGTACAAACATCAAAAACCTTTTCTCCAAACCTTATAACAAACAATATTTTAAATATGTGTATATCACCTACCCCAAAAACCCTCAAAAAGTCACGCTTTCTCCCCAGAAAGCAACACAGTATTATAACCTTTTTGAAAAATATATAAACAAATCCAAATAAATAAATATAAATAAAATCCAAACACTTAAATA